ACTCTCAGTTCATTATAGATGTAGTGGAGGTGGCCAGTTTCAGGTCAGCTTGTGCACCTTTCCAGGTCCTGTAGACCATTGAGCTTTATCTCATGATCGCACTTCCACAGTCGGCTTCAGTATAACAATATCATCATGGTTGTCTGACCTCTTTCCATTTCCCTGAGAAAACGATAAAATAATGACTTACCCATGTATCCAACACCAGATCTGAAGCCTTTTGATAGGGCTTCAGAAGACTTAGAGGAGATCAAATGCCTCCAGCGCCGAAATAGTGTTGGCTTACTACCTTCTTCTAAGTGACCTTCCTAGAAAGCAGAGGTTAGAGTCTGGGAGGTAATTGCTGAGGCCATTAATCCCCAGTCGCAGGTTTTTGAGCAGCAGCCAGACCATAGGACAGTATTCAATAGTTGGTGTCTGCATGTCCTCCCTGGGAGGTACTAATGAATCCTGCCAGTAAAGGGCTAATGCATTTCCCACCTGCACTTTTGGGTCTACTTCGTTAGTCTCCACGGGGAGGTCTACCAGGGCATTGCAGCCCTGTGCGTGGCTAAGACTTGTGCCGGGCGTGATATGAGGCCAGCATGACATAAGCAAAGAAGAGAGCATATGTCTTCTGGTGGCCAAGTGACAGGACCGCAACACTTAGTGCATACCAGGTGAACACTCATGTTCTCAGCAGAGGCTTCATCTCCTCTCTCTGTACCTAGCACAAATTAGTCCAGCTTTGTCTCAGTTGCTTTGGTTTGCACAGAGGTGCTCTGTTGTACCAGCTGAGGCAACGAGGGGTGGTTTTGGAAGATCTGTCTAGAGCCTCTGTCTTTCCCAGACAGCATCTCCAAAAAATTTCAGAATTTACTTCTATTCTTGAAATTCTCTTATGATTTTTGTGATTTTATGATCTGTGCCTTTCTTCCCAACTTAGCAGTTATTAATAGGACAGTTACCCACCATAAAATATTCAGAGCTTTATTCTGTGTACTAAAAATGTCTCCTTTCACTTAAAACTCTTTTTTTTTTTGCTGGTTTAATTTCATTAACTTTATCAAAGTTTACTTTTGATTCTGGCTTATTTATTTCTCCTGCTTTTCCCGATCTTTGAAATGTTTGTTTTGTAAATGCAGTTTAACCTAGAGAAGAGAGAAGCTTGGGGTTAGAGATATAATCCTCTCCTAAGTGACCCCATTTTATCATGGGGTTGGAACCGTAGTCCACTGAATAAAGAGACTCAGACAACGTGGGTTGTATTCAAGGTTTCCTGTGAATTAGCTCCACACAGTCTAGAGCCAGTCAGTTACTTTGTTTGGCTTTGGTTTTGCCAAATTTAAAATATGGCTATGGCTGAAAATCAGTATACAAGAGTTAAGTATTATTACTGGCCAAGTAGTATATCAATCTACAATCTACAGTTTCCTATGAAGGAGGAGGAGGACGTGGTCCCAGTCTTTACTTTGGGTTCATTCCCTTTTGTAAATTCAAGTCAGACTGTCAACAGCAATTTGACTTTGCTTTCACGGTTTATGCTTAAAGCCATCCCCTAGCAAACATCTTGCTTTTCAGATACCTTAAGCCTACAGCAAACAAACAAATAATGGAAATTACATAGTAGTAAAGCTCTTGTTAGCTTTGTATAATAAATTTTATCTACTATTTAAATGGCAATTATTTCCAGAAACTTGGCAATGGTACCCATACAAATGATGAAATTGATTCCAGTCACAGCCCATCTTTCTTTGGAAAGGAAATACCAGTAGTGTTTGAAAAATGGATTTCTAAGAACCTTGGTTCGCTCAAGGTGGCTTATATGTTGTATTTGCTAACACTGTATCTTGCTGGAAGAAAGTGTAGCTTTTCCCTAACCCAGATTATTTTCTCCACAAATCTTTGAAGCAGGAAATAAAAAACAGCTAATAGTTGTGGGGCATGTGGAATTAGTTTAAGCAAAGCCGAACCCTGATCCTTCTGACCACCTCTTCTTTCCTGTGCTGTTTTGTCTATTCCTGCCTCGGAGTATGTCAACAAATTTTCTTCAAGCTCAGAAGGTGCAGGGGGGTGGAAATAGTGACTCCTACTCTGTCTCTTTCTGTCTTTGGGGCTTTTGTGGGGTTTTTTAGGGGAATGATTTAAAACAGACGTATTTTCAAAAAAAGGCACAAGTTTGTCTTGTAAAATATTTGTAAAGAAAAACAGCCTCAGGACCTCTGAATGTAATCCCAGTTGAGTTCTGGAGATGTCACAAAGGGTACTGGTTTTGTTACAGTGACATAATTCCTTTCTCACACAAGTTAATTACAAATCAAGATACCTTTACGGAGAGGGCAGAATCTGTTAAACAAAACTGAAGAGGAAAAGTGTATATGTATTTGAAAAGCAGAAAAAAAACCCATGATTTCCGTATGGCTTATTGTTCACTTCTGCTGTATAAGAAAATGGATTATTTTCATGTTTCTCCAGTACTGGAAGAATGTGTTCTACATGAAGGAATAGAGCAGGTGTATCTTCCTTGATGACAAACGAAGCGGGATGGATAGGTGGTGCACCTCCTCAGAAGCTGTATTCCTGAGGACAGTAATGCTCTGATTGCCAAGACTTCAAGAATGTAATAAATATTAAGGAAATAACTTCACAAACGACTCGGTGTTCCTGTGCAGCACTGGATGTAGTTGATATCAGTGGTTGTGGTTATGGTCATCCTCAGAAAAAAGAAAATATTTTTTCCTGATACAAATAATTATTAATCTTGACTTGAGCTCTTTCATTTTGTCTGAGAAACTGGCTGTTTTGCTGTCTCGGAAGTGTTGTTTTTGTTTTTTTTTAAATTGCACCCAGTCACTGGAAGTAGTTTTGCCACCTCTCGGTCTTTCTGTCTGTCTCAGGATTGTTTCTTTTTAGACAATGTGTTCTGTAGCTAAATACTTTTAACATCTGCAGGAGAAATCTTGACAACATAGTTGCAGAACCAGTGTTGCTGAAGTAACTTCAGATGATTAAATGTTAAATGATGTTTTCCTCATCCAGTCTGGTTTATTAAGACAGCAAAAATGACAACAAAGTAAGTGGACCAATATACTGTCTGCTAATTAAGCGTCAGGAGAAGAAAAGAAAAATGAAATGCAACATATGCTAATTTCTTAGGTGCTGGAGGCAATTACAGAGACTGTTGTATTGTGTGGTGTGTGATGGCAAAATGTTGAACAATTTTTTTATGAAATATTTTGCTAATCTTTAGATATTTTTCTTTCAATTTCTTATTTTGAAAAAACACTAGTCGAATTCAAACTAGATAGGTTAATATGGCAACAATCCATTGGAAATGTTGAACATGAACTTTTTAGTTTACATGTAGTCTGGGAAGAAATTAAAAGAAATTGTCATTTTTTTCCATGGTGGTGCTTCATATTAATCCCATCTAACACAACATTTTTTTGACAGTGCTGTTGGCTCTGCACGGATTTGATTCTACGGCCTGTCTGGATTTAGAGATAGAAAGCTTCTTGGGGGAAAAAGTACATGTCACCAGAGCAGGAGGAGGCCCCATGGAGTGCATTGATGTACCCAAGCAGGACTTGCTGGGTTCTTCTGGGAGGCAAAGTCTGCTCGAGTTGGCAGAAAGAAGGACATTTGCTGGTGGCAAATCTGTCAAAGACCCCAGAAAATGTCTTAATGATAGTGGTTCCTGCCTTTGAAGGATACATGGTCACTCTGTTTTTGAAGAAAACCCCACATTTTTAGGAGCACAAAGAATCGTGATAAATTTATCAAAAATGAAATTATGGTTGGACTTTCACATTGCCATAAATTGATGGCTTTGTGAATAAAAGTCCAATAGTGTATAGAAACCTGAGTAAAGTAAGGAGGTAATTAAATTACTTCCTACAGTGACACCTCCCCTGCATCTTTCATTTTGCCCATGGCTGGCATTTTATATGCTTTTGGAGCCATGGGCTGCACTAATCATATTGTAAAGGCAGTGGGAGTTGCATCTCCCATGTATTTCATGTGTAGCAGCGCTTGAATATTGGTAAGGAAAAATGAGAGAGCAAGCAAGCGTCTGCTCACCAGCCAAGCAGAAAGGTAGAATGGATGATAATAGGGGCACGGGTAGGTGTGACAACTCAAATACGTATTTAGTGGCTCGCCTGCAGCTGAATGATGTGTGCAGATTTGCCTGGGGCAGATGCTGCCAGCCATGCTGCCAGTGTATGGGGTGTCCCAACGCTGCGGTGCTAATGGATGGCAGAGTAAAGGAAGCATGGAGGATGTGTTAAAGGACTGGCAGAGTTGCCGTGTGTGTAGTAGATACATAAAACTATGTATAAAATGGTGGCGTGTGATATGAAATGTTAAATATGAGTGTATCTTTCCCAAGCTAAATGAAATGCCTCTGATGGTCCCAGTAAAGCAGAAGAGCAGCACATCTTCACATCATGTCCAGATGACTTTGGCATTTTCTGTTTTATCTGTGGGGTCGGGCCCAACGTGGTCTGAAGGAGCAGGAAAGGCAAAAATTGCACGTGGAGCCTCGTGCGCCCGAGGGGATGGTGTCTGTGGGAGCCGAGGCGTTTCTGATTTCTCACTCAGTGCCTCCCACAAGGAATGTTTATCTTCCTGGTGCCCGCATCAGCACAAGAACCAGCATTTTGACAAACTGCCCTTATTCTACCTCTTGACTCTTACCACTTGAGAGAGTGCACAACATAGGAGGTTGGCACCTTCAACATGTTTATTGAACCAGAGACTTGGGTTATTGAAATACATACTTAGAAACTAGTGCAATGACAAACAAAATAGTGTGCTGCTCAGCATATGTACTAAAACATACTTACTGTCAATAGGCACCGCTCAAAGGACAAGAAAACAATTTCTGATTGGCGGGTTTGACCAATTACTTTTAGATGAATCCGTGACACATGCGCTTTTGAAACTTAACTGATGGACACATTGTCCTTTTCCTACAACCAGAACCTCTTTTATTCAACTATTTCTATTCTTTTCTTTAGGACAGTGAAAAAAAAGGATTTATGAATAGACTTTATGCCATCCAGGAGGTGTGTGTCAGTGTCCAGAACATCCTTGATGAAGTGGCTTCCTTCGGAGAACGGGTTAAGAAGTAAGTGGTGACACAGGTGCTGGATTGCTCTCCAATACTGTTCATAATTTTTCCAAGCTGAGGTACAAAGCATTAGACCTTTTTTCTGCTTTTGGGTTTGTTTTTTTTGCCAGGGACTCCAGTTTTGGATGATCCATTGTTGAAACTCATCTCTATTTACTTTGCTTTGTGGAGGCCCTCAGTTAATGAACATCCTGTCATATTAATTTTGGAATTTAGAAATATATTAAATGGGGGAGAAAAAATCAGAACTAAGGCTTTGAAGTAAAACAGAAAGAGAATCTTGTTGTGAGGCCTAACAGTAGTTATTTAAAAGTAGTAATAAAAAATGCAGCTTTGATAAACGAAATAAGCAGAGCTGAATAGATGTTTCAGATTTTAAGGATATACATGTGTTCAGTTCCTGGAGGTGTTGTATTTGTGTGAGTTAGCAAAACCTTTCCTCCTAGAGCATATGTAATTTGTAACACCTAATACACGATATGTAAGAATTGGCAACAAATTCAGGCCTTAAGCAAGAGAAGTTCTGAGATTTATTGCAGGAAGTTTGGTGTATTTTCAGCATGGTCAGTGAACAGCAGTGTAAGGTTTATTATTTGAGATCAGACGGGTTCCAGAAAGACATCTTGAGCCACCAGCTGCAAAGCAGGGACAGGATTGACTTGGCTTGCTGCCCCCCAAAAGCCAAGAGCACCTCGCCCTCACGGATGAGAAGTTGGGAGCCATGCCTTCCAACCGGCAGAGATGACCCGGGAGCTGCGCTGAGTTAGAGAAACTGCACAAGAGGCTTTGCTGTAAAGCTTGCATCTTACAGGAGAGTTAAAGCCGTGTGTTCCCCTGCTCTGGGTGGGATCTAGGAGCTGAAGGCACCTGCCTCATCCACTGCTGGTGCCACCTGCACTGCACTGGTGTTCCACACCTGTGAGACCGTATCCTGTGCAAGGGGTACAGCCCCAAAATAAGTACTGACTACTGGAAGTGAGTTTTAGGAAACTGATGGATCGAGTGGAGGTCAACCTGCAGGAAAGAGGAGGATCATCTACCATGCTGTGCTGACTTTTTTTTTTTTTTTTCAAAAATGTATCAGCAATGGCAAGCATATTAGAATCAGGAGGAAGAGGAGGTTGCCATTTATGTGTTTTAAGAGCGAAGTTCCTAATAGGAAAGCCTGGGAAACATTCCCGTGGGGACACTTCCAGGCAGGCAGCAGAGGCAGGCACAAGCACATTGTATTGCACAAGTTTTCCAGACAAGCAAAATGAGCCTCTGTCTGAAAGAAGTCTTTTATCAAAAGGCTGTTCGTGGAAGTTGTCTTGATGATTAAGTTTTTCTAATTGTGCATTTTGGAAGTAGGGTTTGTTCTATTATATACCAGATGAGAGCAACAGAATTTTCTAAACCGAGTGAGACCGAATCTTCCTATAAATCTTTATAATTTGTTCCTAAAACTATAATGGGAAACCTGTACTGAATGCTGCGCTAACACAGCACATAAGGAGGTTTTCTAAGCGAGGAGCCAGTGTTCCCACACATGGCATGTCTGTGATCCATTGCACAAAGCCGAGTCACAGGATCATGAGCAGACCCTCAACCTTCTGTTCATCCCAAATGCATGCAGAAGAGGGGAAAAGAGCAGGTGTCCCCTGAGGAGAAAGGGAGTGATCCTACACCAAGTGACACTAACATAATGTTCACTCTGGAGACATGTCAAAATTGCCAGGGAGAAAAGAAGACAAATAAACACAGGAAGCCAGAGCTCATTATGAAAAATATGGCTACAAATTCAGATAATTGCAATTATTCAGCCAGAGAAGCCAAAGTAATGTAATCACACTGATTGGGCATGTAGCTAGTGTAATACTTTAAAGAGTATCGTCAGGCTATTTAGAGCCAAAGCCACATTTTCCTTCTGGATAAATGTCACACAACACCTTTGACATGGTGGTGCCTTCGTGGAACAATCCCGTTGAGCCAAGCTCCCGTTAACCAGCGTTCCCGTGAGACATACGTATAAATTGGCCATCTGGCCTTTCTCTCTTCCTGCACACAGAGGTTGGAGAGCCACAGCACGGCTGTTTCGAGACTCGTTAGCTTCCACCTCCTCTCTGCCCGTACCTCAACCTCTGCAAAATGAGGTGATCAGCAATTTTTTATCACAGTGTAGACCCTTATTAAGGATGTTTTAATCTGGGGCTTTGTTGGAAAGCTGATATCCTGAAACGCTGAGGGGATACCAGAAGTTCTCTTCCTTTATCCCTGAAGAAATAATCTTTATTTGGTTTGATTTTATCTGGAATGATAAAGTTTTTCTTTGCTTTTCCTGCAATGTACTTTATCTTATGCTAGTCCCTCCTTTTTTTTTCCTCTTTCTGTCCTTTTTCTCCTTTTTTTTTTTTCCCCCCACCCAAAGTGCTTTTATTTCCTTCTTTCATCTACTGTTGTTGCATTATCCCTGTCTTCAGGACTGACTGTTCTGTCCCCTCCTTTTCCCTAACCCTCTCCTCCTCAGGTGCACGGGTGAGTTTCCAGCTTTGCATACCCACACGCTTCCCTTTTCCCGAACGTACCCCCACGACAGAAGGGTTCCTGGCCGGCAGTGCACGTACACATCAAGCAGAGGGGAAGGTCCCTGCTCAGCTTTAACTGCGTGCTCGGTCCTTACGGTAGAGCAGGGAGGCGATAAAACAGAAATCCTTAGCGGTGGTACTCTCTTACATCCTACCTCTGCACTGGTATTGAAGAAGGGAATCTGGGTTGCTTGTGCGAGCCCGTTTGCAGAGAAAGGAAAGGTGTGTGTTTTGGCTGATGCTGAAGCTTTGCTGGAGGGTGGGCACTGACATTTCCAACAAGCCATGTTTCCTCTGGAAGGTGTGGGTGGCTGGGCCAGGCAGAGGTGCCGTTCAGTGGGCGTGTGGGTGAGGTCAGGACCTCCTTTCCTTTCTGCTGGGGGTGGGTCCCAGCCCCAGCTCGCCCTGATGCCCAGCACCCATGCTTTCATTTGTAGTTCCAGTTTGTTCTCACTGATGAAAACTGGCACTTTCCCCCCCTGTCCTGCCCATTATTTGTCCTTCTGTTAGCTCTGTTGAGTGACCCCAGTTCTTTCTTTCAGTACGTTCAACTGGACTGTCCCATTCCTGAGCTGGCTGGCAATCGTTGCCCTCTCCGTGTTCACCATCATCCTGTATTTCATTCCACTGAGATACATTGTCCTTGTCTGGGGTAAGTAAGGCCTTTTTAAACAGTCCGTGCCACTTAAACCTGGTTTTTAAGGGATGACTTACATTGTCAGGACTTTGCTGTATTTATGGTCATGAAGCCGCCCCATGATGGAAACAGACAGGTCAGTTAAAAATCACAACTGCTTAAAGATTTAGGCCCACCTGCAAAATGCATTTTTCTTGGCTGGCATTCTAGACTTCATCATACTATAAACATGTAGCCATGAGGATTCTTCATATATCAAAGTGTAGCTTTGTCTAGATATTACTCTGATTTATTTTCACCACTTATACACAAACAGAGGCATTTCAATCTATACAGTGCATTTAGGACAATATGCCTTTTTTACTGCAGTACTTTATCTTGTGAAAGTGTATGTAAACATAGCAACAAGAAACCTGTTTGAAGGGTCACCTTTAGTCCGACAGAAAGGTGTATGTGGTATTTGGCTGGTTGATAATGAACAAAAACTGGGGGTGGGTAGGGGGTAGAACTGTGATTGATCCAAGCTCTCACTACTTGTCCTTATATTTATTCTCTATACTGATTATAAAAAGCTACCATTACCACATCCGTTGTAAATAATGCTCCAAGTTTTCATTTCTACATTTTTTATACAACTCACGCCACCAGCAGCTGTACCCTTATTCAGTAGTGCAGACTTGTGAAGAGCACTGTCTCAGTTAAATCTGCAGCTAGATTTTCTTTCTGAAGAGAAGAATAACAATCATGCCTTTCTGAAAACTTCTGAACTAACTCAAGAGACAACATAAAATCATTGAACTGACTCCAAGGAATATATTTGTTATATATCAGTCAGTATTAGTAACATTCCTACAGAGTCTTCACAAATAAATGTAGCAGAATATACAAAATGGAGAAGAACCAATATGGAGGATTTGAACAATTTTATTTTTTTTTATGGAACTAAAGCAAGCGTCTTTTCCTGTCTCAGAATTTCACTTATTCCCCACATACCCTATGTCATTGGGGTGCTACCCAAACTATTAGCACGTTCCCAAAATATCACTCTTCCTAGTGCTCACAAGATGGTAGGCTTCTTGTTACCGAGGTTTGAAGTACTTGGTCTGTGTCCTTTTTCTGTCGTTTTTCAGACAGAACTGGCATGTTGTATGCTTGCTTTCATACTTTGTTTCATGCAAGAACCAGAGATTAGAAACACAAAACTGTACAGTCAGCACTGTTTTTGAAATGCTGCTGACACAAACCCCTGCTGTACCCCGGGAGGGGTCACACTCCCCAAAAAATTTCTCTGTTTCAGGTAAGGCAGAGCCTCGACTCCCAAACTGAAGTCCATGCCTCCCCAACCATGGATGGAGACCATGACCACAAATCATTGTAAATGCACCTTGCTCTCTTTCCCATCTCTTCCCGCCCCCAAGTTGTCTATCTAGGTATGACTTTGAGCACCTTTGTTCGCTAGAGGTTTCAGCTCCACGTTTTTCTGCCTGCATTGCAGAGTAGGTGACTTCTTATTCAGGGTGTCTGGGGATCCCTCTTTAGGGACCCATTTCTCTTGCATCGTGCATCAGGAGACCAGACTGGTACCACATAGCTGCAGCTCCAGCGGTCCAGACCTCCTCGGGGTGAAATGCTCTCACACAGACCCATGTCGTGCTGTGTGTGGCTTTGAGCAGATGTCCCTTCAAAAAATGCAGTACTCTAAACACGTACCTATTTTCTCCATTATTGTGTATTTCTAGCCTCTCCATGTATATACATTTCTTGATCCAATTCGTCCATCCTGCACTTGAAAGCAAATTACCTCTGTTGTTTGACTTCTATCCATAGAAAGTTTGAGCTGGTCTGGGCATCTGCCCATTTTGTTCTTTGGGAAGGCTGGGGTTTTTAAATGAAAATTCCTCCATGTTATGGCTGGTCTTCTGTATAGCTGTCTGTCTTCTGCACGTCCATAGGGACTGCCTCTTTCAGCCTGCCCTGGCAAGAAATTCTCAGTTGATTCCCTCCTGGCCATGTTTCTCCCCATGGAGACTGCTGGTCCTTGAACGTGTGGTGTGTGAGCTGTGGTGGAGCAGGAGCCACCTCTGCATTCTAATCCCACTCGCTAGAGTGCAGAGTCCTGCAGCTGTTTATGTGGAAAAAAAGTATAAAGACAATTATTTTAATCAGAACATTTTGAAGCTTTTGGAAAAGACCTAATCCCCTTGTATTTTACTTCTCCTGTAGTGTCCCATCACATCTGTTCAGCTCTGTTCTTGGGCCTTGACCATGATTTATTCATGGCTTTACTTTCATGGGGTGACTGGTACTTTGTCAGATGCAACAAGGTGAGACCATATCAACTCCTGAAGTCACCCGTGGGTGGTTCAGTGGCCACGTGCAATGAACAGTGGGGTAGACCTTGAATTTCTCAGTCACTTGCTGATGCAAAGGATCTTAAACAAAAGCATTTGAATCTCAGATACTCTTTCTCAACACTCAGTGTTCAATTGCCAGATAAGGGGATCGCAGCATCTCCTATCTACACCGCAGAACTGAGAATTCATGCAGTGGGAGGCCATGGGTGTTGTCGAGACTGCAGCTTGCACACTCCCAAAGCTTTATGTCCTTGCTAACACTTTCTGAAAAGCCTAGGAACCTGTGATGGGTTGACCCTGGCTGAGGGCCA